AAATTAATATTTTACTTTATTTAAAATGAAGTTTGATAAACTAACACAAGAAAGTTAAAATGCTCAATCTGTTTCATCATTTAAATTAAACCGTTCTCCCCAGCTGCAGCTGGTTCAGAAAATATGGTCACTGTACCCAGCCTGTCCCTGTTTTGTCCTCCCTTTGGCATGCATATACATAAATAGAAGTGAATAAGTTAAATCTCTGAAAGGTTGCCGACCCCTGTTTTATAGCATTGTAGCTAACTGACCTAGACATGTTTTAATTTGAAAGCACAGATTTTTGGAAAGCAAATTGAACTCTGTAGTGTGGCACTAAATCTCAGAATTCTGAGTAGCTTAATTTAAACATGACTAGTTCTGTTTGAACTATTTTATCCCATTTTGTTTATGTGCAGATTATTTTAATTTATTTTCTATCCTATTTATACTTTATAATTTGAAGATACATCATAACTATTAAGAGCTAGTACCCATGTTGCATACACATGTTGCATATTCTCTTTACTATCCCTGGCAAGTCATCCATGTTCCAGTTCTACTGACATCACTTATTAAACAGTGCTACTTATCCCACTGTAGCGCTCCAGCAAGGAGAATTGGGAGAGGCAGAGATGGGCGAGATTGTGGACTTGCTGTCCGTTCTCTGCTTTCTGCAACCTATTACAGACATTCAGGGAATTGATTAAATGATCACAAACAGCTGTAGGAGAGGGTTTTCTTGAAGAGATGTCTGGTATCTCCACATGTGAGGGACAGTGAAGAGATTGTCACTGTCACTGGAATGTGCAACAGTAACTAAGGGGCAGAAAGAGGAAGGCATCCACATGGCTTCAGTGCATGGTTGGACGGCTTCTGAGGAAGGTGTAATGCCTTCAGACATAATGCCAGCTCTTTGTGTCAAATGGGGGCTCGTCCATTCTTTGAGTAGTAAGGAGATTGATCAGCATTCCTTTTCTAGGTTCATGCTTACCTGAGATACAAAACTGAGAAACTGTTAAGAGTGATTTCTTCTCCATTCTGAATGTGGCCTTATCTTCTGCACCCCTTTTTCTGAAGATCATGGAGAAGAAGTTGGTCTCCTCTTATTCATAGCTAGATTGGAAGTATAACAGTCTGGCTCCTTCATCTGGTCACCATTTTTATACTTGAATGCATCATAAAGGGGAATATCCATACAGCAGAATCAGTGCTTCTGCAGTACAAGTCATATAGAGGGCACCAACTCCTCCTTTGTCTCCTTTTCCATTTTTTTTTTTAAATACAGTGGTTGGAACATAGTAGGTCCGCAGAGCTCTGAGAGTACTTGAGACCCTTTCAAACCTCCTTTAATTCCCCCTCAACTCCATTTGTTCCTAATTTTTCCATTAGAAATGAAAGGGCAGAGCTAAATTCCCCTTCAGAGAGTTGTTTGTCCCTCCTGGCAGAGGAAAGATAAATGGGGGTAGAAAGAGGGAGTGTGTAGGTCGGTCAGTTGTCTTCAAAAATTGTCGAGTTTGTAACAAATGTAGATACTTGCAAAGAGGGAATGAGTAAAATGGTGTGGAAGCAGGGCAAAGATGTTTAGAATTGGGTGAGTTATCTAAATAGGAGCTGGAGAATATGGACTTGCTTTGTCCTGTTTCAACTGCAGGAGCAGCTGCTGTATTTAGGGCCAGCCTCCTGCACTACCACAGTCCCTCATTTGCAGTTGCTTTGAGAGTACTTGCTGCTTGAATCAGGATTATGCTGCTGTGGCAGAGGGAAGGGGGTGGGGGAAGAATTGTTTGGCCATCGTGGGACCATGAATATGACACAATTGCAGTGATTGAGGAAATATCACTGCACGAGCTGGAAGAGGCCCCAGAGGGGAGAAGCTGCGTGTAAATTATTCATGCTCGCTAGTGTGAAAGCAATAAAATAAAATTAAAATTGAAATATAAACATACATCATGTTAGATTTGTGCAGAAGGCGGAGAGCTTGGCATGGTACAGGATTGCGGAGGTTAAGCCAGGGAGACTGCAGCCTGCAGTGTCTCTTCCCAGAATAACAACTGCTATAAATTGGACCTGAAAGAGCCCAGTGTGTGAATTTCTGGCAATCTTTACACATTGAGCCTTTGGGGCTTGCAGCCTTGCCTTGTGGGAGTTAGTGCTACCTGTTTTGACTTCTGTGATTGCAGTCATAACACTTAACCCCATCTGGCTCGATATTTGCTCTGTATTCCCTGAAGGGAGATGACCTTAGTGTGCTGAACACATGCTGGTACCAAGGCAGATGCAGGAGAGGAGATGTTACTAGTCTGTACAGCTTTTTGTTGGATTAGAACTTTGCAAAGGGGAAAAGGGCTGGTCTCTAGGACCAACTGGTGATCTGCTCTGTAGGGTGCATCTTCAAGTTCCACCTCACAAGAACACACCGGTGCCTTTTGTAATTACTTAAGGGAAAGCAATTGAAAGCCACTCGCAACAAATTGATGGAGACACTGCAGAATGCTTCTGCTTAGCCTGGAATCTGAGCATGGTGCACCATCTGTATTCTGGCAACTCCTTGGCCAAATTACATTCCTAGCCTTTCTTTCCTGCACTGTTTTTCATTAAATGAATTGAGTTTGCTGGAAATTGTCTAGCCATAAATATTCCCTCCCTCTCGGTACAGTCAGGTTATTTCTGCTTCCCTAGTCAGTGCTTTGTTGCAGAGCAGAAAGGGGCCAGCAAACCTTATGAAAAGAAAAACAAGAATGTGGCAAGGGGGAGAGGAATCCTCTGGCAGGCTCTGCAGAAAACCTTTCTTCTCTCTGCTGCTTCACATTCAGGGCCATAAATATTTTAATGCTGTTAGTAACAAATGAGAGAAGAAAGGGGAGGAGCAGAGCCATACGTTGTCTAATTTATCGCATTTCTGCTAAGAAAAATGGTAGAAATGTGAACCAGATGGTTTGGGAAGTGTGGGTGTGAAACAGCTTTAAAAATATAGTCCTGGAAGATGTCTCTAATTACGTCATCCTCTGAGTACAAAACAGAATGGAAATCCAGTATGAGTGCAAAACAAGACAAGAGTTTTGGTTGTCTGAGCACCCAGCTAATAAGGTGCCATCTGCACCAGAAAAGGAGAACACACAACACACAAGGGGTGTTAAGTTGGTTTTCTGAAGCTCATGGTCTCCATTACACATATACATTCCCTGATTTGCTAGCAATTTACAGAGGCGTACATGCTCTGGTGCTTCAGTGCTGGGGGCAGAGAACTCTCTCTGCAAGGGGTAGGACTTGCAGATACGTGACTCTCATATGGGTTTGGCATGTTGAAAATCTGTCAGCCTAAAACACAGCTGCGTAGAATAATAAATGTGTATTTATAGTTCCACAGGTCAATTTTAATGCAGTTTTGGTAGCCCAAAAATGGTACACCCCCCCCCGGTCCAGAGATGCTTCCACTAGATGTCAGTTATTGCTGTTTAGCCTCTTGCTTACTTTCCATCTGCTCAGCTCTTTCCCCCTCTGCATCCCCTGCAATTACAGCTACCACTCTCTTCTGTAGCTGCAGGAGCAGAGATTGTTTTTCAGTGCAGTAGTCCTCCAATCTTTAGTCACCAGAGTTTGTGTGGACGTAGCCAAGTTTCTGTCTCTGATGTTCAGTTCTGGTAATTTAACTGTTACTATCCAGCTATCGGGAATCTAATTATTGTGGTGACTGTTTAGGAATAATAAATCACTTTTACGCATCTTTTAAAAATAATTTCCTTAACACGTGGATACATTTATTCTCAAGGTTGAAGTGTAATCAAATTCAGACAAAATTAATAGCAGTTCTTTTTTTTTTTTTTTTTTTTGCTTCAGGCTGTTTGGTTGTTCACTCTAGTTGATACACATTTGTATTTTTATAAGGGATGTTAAAATGCATTTATTAAGGTAAATGTGTAACTGCTGAAAATATTAGTGGTTACACATTTGCACAGGGGGAGGAGGCTCTCCCCTGCCAGTACCTCTGATAGAGGCAGCTCTGGGAGGGGGGAGGAGGGAAGCTGCATGTAACCATAGTCTATTTGTGTTGGGCTCAGCTTCTTTCAATAATCTGATTGCCAGGCAGACCTCTTGGTCATTAGCTGCATCCAGAGGAGTCAGTGCAATCCCTCCCCCTCCCCCCAACTCCTGCCTATTAGTCAGTTAGCTTTTGGTAGATGG